TGCTTCTAAACCAGTCATAGTATGTTATTGTTGTTATGTGCTGTTGAGTTGCCTGTGATGTATAGTGAACTTATGTACAGCAGCTCTGAACCCCTCCCTGTTGAGCCATTCTCACTAATTCCAACACACCAACCCCCATTGCTCCAGTCACTATTATCAGTCCATCTCATATGGGGTCTTCCTCTCCTGCGCTGTCTGTCCACCCTTCCGAGCATGACGGACCAGTCTCTCTTGGCTATGTGTCCAGAGAGGCAGAGCTTCAAACTCCTACCCTCTAAGGAGAGACTTGGTTTCACCCTCTCCAAGACAGACCAATTTGTTTTCTTGGCAGTCCATAATATGTTCAAGACTCTTTTCCAGCACCACAACTCGAAGGCATCTATTCTTCTGTTATCCTTAGTTATTGTCCCACTCTCTGAAGCATAACAAGTAATTGAGAAGACCATGGCCTGAATTAGGCACACCTTTGTATCTAGACTGACATCATTGCTCTTCAGCATTCTGGAGAGGTCCATGACAGCAAATTTTCCTAATGCGTTTCATCACTTGATTTCCTGACTGCTGTGTTAAGAATGTTGATCATGGATCTGAGCAAGCTGTAATTGCTAACAACTTCAGTCTTTTCAGTATCCATAATGATGCTTCCAATTGCCCCTGTGGTGAAGATCTTTGTTTTCTTGATACTGAGCTTCAATCCATATTGAAGGCTGCAGTCCTTAACCTTCTGCAGCAAGCGCTTCAGGTCCTTCTCAGTTTCAACAAGCAGGGTTGTGTCATCTGCATAACGTAGGTTGGTTGGTGATGAGTCTTCTTCCAATCTTGATGCCACATTCCTCCTCATAAAGCCCAGCTTCCTGAATGATCTGATCTGTATGTAGATTGAAAAGGTATGGAGACAGGATGAATCCCTGTTGTACTCCTTTCCTGATTTTGAACCATACTGTTGCATTGCTCTGTTCTGAGGACTGCTTCCTGGTCTAAGTATGTTGTTGTTGTTATGTGCTGTCGTGTCGCTTGCGACTCATAGTGACCCTATGTACAACAGCTCTAAACTGTGTCCTGTGCCAATCTCATTGTCTCCAACACACTCATCCCGGTTGCCCCAGTCACCAAATCAATCCACCTCCTAGAGGGCCTTCCTCTCCTGTGCCTGCCCTCCACCCTCCCGAGCATGATGTCCTTCTCCAAGGCCCGGTCCCGCCTTTCAACATGACCAAAGTATGTCAGACGAAGTTTCAGAATCCTTGCCTCCAAGGAGCAACCCGATTTAACCCTCTCCAGGATGAATCTGTTTGTTTTCTTAGCAGTCCATGGTACCCTCAGCACTCTTCTCCAACACCAAAACGCAAAAGCATCAATTCTCCTTCTATCCTCCCTGGTTATTGTCCAGCTCTCTGACGCATAACAAGTGATTGCAAAGACCATGGCCTGTACCAGACACACCTTAGTTTCCAGAGACATACCATTGCTCTTCAGTACTTTAGAGAGGTCCCTAACAGCAGACTTTCCTATCTAAGTATAGGTTTTGCATAAGCACAATCAAGTTTTCTGGGACTCCCATTTTCCTCAAGGTTAGCCACACTTTGTTGTGATCCACACAGTCAAGTGCCTTTGCATAGTCAATAAAACGTAGAATTTCTTCTGGTACTCTCAGCTGTCTGCCAAGATCTACCTGACATTGGCAATGATGTCCCTAGTGCCCCGACTCTTCTAAACCCAACTTGAATTTTGGTTGTTCTCTTTCAATGTAATGTTCAGTTGTTTCTGGATAATGTTCAGCAGGATTTTGCTAGTGTGTGATATTAGTGATACTGTTTGATAATTTCCACACTGTCGGGTCACCTTTTTTTGGAATGTGAATAAATATGGATCTCTTCTAGTCAGTTGGCCAAACAGTTGTCCTACAGATTTCTTGGCACAACTTGGTGAGCACATCCAGGGCAGCATCTTTTTGCTGAAAGAGGCCAATTGGTATTCCATCAATTTCTGGGGCTTTATTTTTTTGCCAAGCCTTTCAGAGCAGCCTGCACTTCCTCCTTTATCACCATTGTCTCTTGTTCATATTTTTTAAATTAACTTTAATGAAATTTACAGAAACTTTTGATTTTTATTCTTTCATTGTTGCACTTTTCTCCCTGGCTACCCCTCCCCCAGTTTGTACTTCTCTTTGAAAAGTGAAAGAGAAATTCTTTCATTGTTATACAATTCCTCCCCCCAAGTCCACTCCACTATGCAGCCTTCGTTCTGGACTCCTGTCATGACAATAATATCTAATCGACGGCAACAACAATATCAACAATATCCCTTTTAAACAGTTCTCTCCTCCTCTGTTTCAATGCAGTACACATTATTTATCCCATCTTTCTCAGTCTCCCCTCAACCCATATGTCAGTCCTCTTTTATAACAAGTGGTCCTATGCAGTATTTGTCTTTTTTGTGACTGAGATATTTCATTCAGCATAATGTCCTCCAGGGTCACCCATTTTGTATAATATTTCATGAGTTCCTTGTTTTTCAATGCAGCATAGTATTCCATTTTGTGAATATACCACAGCTTCTCTATCCATTTGTTTGTGGGGTTTTTTTTGTTTCTGGGTTTTTTCCCCCATACTTTTGTTTGTTGATGAGCACTTGGGTTGTTTCCAGCTCTTTGCTATTGTAAACAAAGTAGCAGTAAACATAGGTGTGCATATGTCTACTTGGGTAGCAGTTATGGTTTCTTTAAGGTATTTTGTCATACGTTGTTTCTTGAAATTCTTCTGTGTCAGCCAGTTCTTTTTGGTACACTGACTCTGTATACTCCTTCCATCTTCTTTTATTGCTTCCTGAATCATTCAGTATTCTGTCCATAGCATCCTTAAGCATTGCAGCTCGTGGCTTGAATTTATTCTTTAGTTCTTTCAGCTAAAGAAATGCTGAGTGAGTTTTGCCCTTTTGATTTTCCAACTCCAGCTCCTTGCATATTTCTTGAAAATATTTTGCCTTGTGGCCCTTTGAAATCTTCTATTCCCATGCGTTGTATTTTATAAAACCAATCACCATTGGACCTTGCCCATCATTATCCAATCTTTTCAGGTCCCCGCTGAATCCTTCTCATTTCCTTCACCCTCTCCCTCCACCCATCAAACTTTGCAACCCTGTTGTTTTGCCTCTACCCATCCTCACCCCTTTGCTCCCACCTCTTCCTCACTAGTGACCCCATACATGTTTTACTAGTTATCCTTCTATTTTTACAATAATGCTCTTAGGTGCCATTTGTCCTTATGAGACTAAGTTAGTTCACTCAACATAATGCTCTCCAGTCTATCCCAAGTTATGTAGTATTTTTCAAAATTGTTGCTCCTGAGTGCTTCATAGTATTCCATTGTGTGAATGTATCACAGTTTCTCAATCCATTCAGTTGTAGTTGGATATTTGGGCTATTTCAATGATCTTGGTGATTATGAATAATGCTGCTATGAACATTGGTGTACAGATCGCCGTTTGTGTCTCAGTTCTAATTTCCTTGGGGTATACTTGTAGCTAGTTGTAGAATAGTTGGGTCATACGGAGTTTCTGTATTCATCTTTTTGAGGAAATGCCAATCTCTCTTCCAGAGTAGTTAAACCATTTTATAATCCCATCAACAGTGTCTGAGAGTTCCCATCTCTCCACATCCCCTCCAACATTTATTTCAGCTGAGTCTTGAAGGAGCATCTTTTGGTCCCAGTAAAATTTAAGAGTGACGCTGTGCTGATATTTCAGAGTGAAAGCATAGCATGATCATTGTGTAAAGGTGAGGAACCATAGGCAGTTGGCAATGCTGAAGATGAGATTGGGACACAAAAGCCTTCTGAATTCTGATCTAGGTGAAATTTTCTTGTTAATCCATACAGTATTTTTCTGCTATCACAGTGTTCTTATACTTGAGGTGAGAGAACAGAATTCAAAGGAATCCACCATCTTACCTTCTCATAGGAGAGACATAAGATAAACATCTGAATAATAAAAACACAGGGAACTATAGGACTAGCTAATAAATATTTGTAGAGAATAAATATGATGAGCCTTTAAAGGACAAAGAGAGGTCTGGGTTGAATTTAAGAATAACTATCTTTCTTTTTTTTTTAAAGAGTAACTATCTTAAGGTGATGGACTTAAGCTTGCTTTTATTTGGTAGGGTTGACTTACTGGAGAAGAGGTGTTGTGTGAGTAAAGTAAAAAAAGCTTGTTCAGGGCGAGCTCTGGTGGCCTAGTGGCAAGAAGCTGCACTGCAATCCCAGAGGTACAAGGTTCGAATCCACCAGATGCTTTGCTGGAGAAGGAGGGACAATCTCTTCCTGTACCAGTCAGATCTGATTTGACAGTACACACACACACACACACACAATAATAAAATGTAAAAAAAAACTTGTTCAGGTTGTAAAGTCAAGAGGCATGTTCAGATTGTATTTATTTTGTCACTGTCATTATCAAATATGACTCTTTCTTCCATGTACTTGTACTATTAATTTCCTTCTTTCCTTATCTGCATTTATTCTGGTCTTGAGTTCTCCTGATCAGGTAAAATAGCAAAGGATACTTATTCTTTTGAGGCTAATATATTTGGTTCCTGCATTTGAGGGAATAAGCAGCAAAACTTCATCCAGGAAGAATTTGTACAAAGGTTTTTCCAGATCTACTTGATTGCACTTGATAATAACATTCTCTTTATTTGCTTGGATAATAAAATTATTTACCTTTCTCCATGTGTGAATGAGTGTCTTTTGCCTTTGAGAATATGAAGATAATCTAACAATTTATCATCAGTAGATTGTTAGACCACATGTGTTTGAAAATTGGATTTTTGCTATGTGAATACTATATCATGTTTCTTTATCACTTAAAAAGAATATGTTGAAGCATATCAGAAAACAGTTACATGATTTAAGATGCATTTTGTACTGTATATATAAATTATTTATAAGACTTTTTTAAATGAAAAATTTATGGAACTATTTCTTGATCTGATTCTGTTATAGACAATTATGGATATCTTCAAAATGCACCTCCTGGATTTTTCCCAAGACTTGGTGTTATTGGTTTTGCTGGTCTTGTTGGACTCATTTTTGCTAGAGGTTGGTACAATTTTTCATTTTTATATTTTTCATTACTAGGTTTATTGGGGTATCATTTACATTAATTAACATTCCTATGTCTCCATTACCACACTCAACATATTCCATCACCCTCAGAAGTTCCTTTGTGACACATTGTAGTTAGTTCCCTTGGTTCACCCTCAGCTTCTGGCAACCGTGGCTCTGTTTTCTTTCCTTATAAGTTTACCTTTTCTAGAGTGTCATGTAAATGAAATAATTTCATATGTAGTGTTTTGGGTCTGACCTCTTGCATTCGGCATGTTAGATTTAGTACTTGATCCATGTTGTAGCATATGTCAATATTTCATTCATATAGTCTATAGACCCTGTAATCAGCCACCCATAAAAAATTCATAGAAATTAGTTTGGTAGCTGTTCTCCCCATTGAAACAGTATTTATGTATATGTTTGTAAAATGAACTGATGCAGCATGAGGGTGGCTGAGTCTTAACTTCTACCCACTTCACAAAGGGGCACTATCCCCATCAATAATATCCATAGCAGCAAACAGTGACTAGGTTAGATATGCCATTGCCCATGCTCCTGCACTTCCACCAATCATTGGGTTTGACATTGTTAACTTACAGGCTTTACTCACAGTTGTGGTACTGATAATGGGGTTTATTAGGGAAATAAGTTGAAGAATGGAGGAGGCAATGCAAGTCCAGGACTTAGCCCAGCATTCCCAAGCCAGATTAACAGAAAAACACAGTTCCTCAATTAGGAAAAGTCTCAGTTCAGTTTAGTAGCACAAATCCAAATCATCCAGCAAGGTTTACTTCAGAGCAGTTATAAGTCAGCTTCTTCAGTCATCCAACAAGAACTGAAAACTTTTAACTGTGTCCTTTATCTCAGGGCTCCTCTGGCTACACCTTGCCACAGTTTCTCTACAGCAGTGCAACAGTTTCTTCACTACCATCACCAGGGTCTTGCACCAGCCTCCCTAAGGTCTTGCCACTCAGTGTGGAAAGTACTCTCTCTCTTATCCTTGTCCCACAGCTGTTGATGATTTACAAGACCATATGTCTGCAGTTAAGGTAGCTGGAGACCAGAGGGGACTAACATAATGGCTAAAAAAGCCAACTTTTAAGCTAACGTCACAATATGTGAATCATTATAATATTGAAAATTACAGTCCTGGTGCCACTCCCCTGGTCTGTGGAATGAGCTCTTAGACACCCATTCATCACTTTGCCAGCATCATTAGCTTCCAAAGGCCAGGAAGTTCTGGTGGCATAGTCCACATCAAGTTGTTCTGATACCCCTCAGGTGGTGTCTCAGGGTGGTTGAAATCCAGAATCTACCAGCAGCCTCACTGGGAAAGAAGATGGATAGTCTCCTCTGTAATTGTTCCACTGGGGGATTAGCTATGATTCACCTCCGATTCATTGAATGAGTTGAATGCAAAAATTGGTTCAAAAATAGAAAATGATCACACAATTTCACCACCTCATCTGTATATGAATGTTCTGCCAGGAAAGCGTGGCCCCTCCCATCACCCACAAAGGAGGGCTGCCTAGCTTGCCAGAACCAAGTGGTCCAATCCCCATGGTCTTCTACCTTAATCATATTTTCAGGATGAGGGACTCTGACTCTGACTCTGACTCTGACTCTCACTAAGGCCCGAACTTTTTTTTCTTCCTACTAAGTTATTTACAAAATTTGAATACATTGTTTTCAAGAACAGATTCTTTCAATTTCCCTCACCCCCCATCAAATTAAAACAATTACATGATTAATTCCCCCCCCCCTTGGACGTCTTCATCCCTCTGCTTGCTTCCAACTTCTCCCACCCCTCTTGGATCCTTAAACTCATTCTACAATAATGGTTTTATACAATATTTATCCTTGTGGGACAGAGTTAGGTCACTCAGCAAAATGCTCTCCAGTCCCTCCCAAGTTAGGTAATAATTTACAAAATCATTGCTCTTGTGTGCTGTGTAGTATTCCATTGTGTGACTGTACCATAATTTCTCAATCCATTGATTTGTGGTTGGGCATTTGGGCAGTTATCATGTTCTTAGGATGGTGAATAATGTTGCTATGAACATGTTGTTGTTGTTACGTGCCGTCGAGTCGCTTGCGACTCATAGTGACCCTATGTACAACAGCCCTAAACTCTGCTCTGTCCTGTGCCAATC